ATTCAGAAGTGCCAAAAAAGCTTATTAAAAAAGCAAAAACAAAAAGCGTTCGAAAGATTTACAATACCAAATATGCATTTGTTAACCTCAGATAAATCCGTAAAATTTTGGGAATATTAGTTTTTGGGGGTTAATGCATCCGTATTTGTTGTATACAACTGAAAAAAAAATGACAATTATTAAATATTATTGTTTACTGTTTGTTCAAACATTGTTTCGGAACAATTTTCTTCCTTTTTTCTTTCTTTTCAATTAATAGTGAACTTAGCTAAAGAGAAAAAAAATACAACAAATTTTTAAAATTTTGACTTTGATATATTAGAAATTAGCCGATTTGACAATAAGTTTTTGAGGCGCTGTTTGTATGAACATAAAAAGCAAAAAAAAAAAAGGTGCAGTGCAACTATCTGTTTGAAAATTTGAAAATTTTACAACAATTAACGTACAATTGGTTTATAAAGAAAAACCCTCTCTTTCTTCTATGAACAATAAAGAGAATTGTGAGATAAAGTATCGAAAAAAATGCAGTGTTTTAAGTAATTCTTTTTACTCATTTTTGCTAAAATTAACAGTTTTTCTTCTATCTTTTTTTTTTTTGATATATTATTTTGTTTTGGATTAGTGGTAACAGTTTTTGGCTACAACAACAAAAAACTGGGCATCAACTAAACTTGTAGCTTAGTAATTGTAAACTTTCAGACGACTGTCTTTTTCTTTTTTTTACAAGAAGCACATAGGTTAGTTGACTAAATCCCACAGTTCTTGTCAGGGCACAATTTTTGGTTAGTCAGTTTAGTTTTCCACCCTTTACAAAAGTTTTCCAACCAACAACAATGCTATGATCAGTTTTCTAAAATCAACTTTATAAATTTTTTCTAAGTTTTAATCGCTGATAATATGAGAACAATAAATTTTCAAATATTTCTTTTAGGAACATTCAAATTAATTTTGATTTTTTACACTATTTCTTTTTTTTTTCTTTTGTCTTTTTAGAAGAGGAAAGAGTGGAAAGCACAGAGTTTGAAGTCTTTAACAGCCTAATAGATGACACCTTTTTTTGCAAGTATATTTGTAGCAAAATATGATAAATGATTAATCTTACAAAAGTATTAATTCATTAAAACTTCTTTTTTTTTTTCTAATAGATTATACGATTGACTTTGCTGATACGTGTATTGTGCCCCTCTTCCCACCCCAAAAGATCAATTATTCAAACATTTTTAAATAATTTCTGATTGATTTCAAATGTTCAGAAGGTATTTTGGTGTTGTCTTCACGCCTTATAGTTGTCGTAGTTTTTCTTTTACTTCTTACTAAAAATACTGTAATTTTCTGGAAAAAAAAAAAAAGGAATTTTCACTGGTCTTCTGAGGAGAATGAAAATTTGTAAATAACACAAGGTAATCAGAATTTGATGTATTGTTGACGGTTTGTTAAACTAGTTTTAGTTGTAGTACAAGCACAAGTCTTGCTTATCGGGTTACTAAACGCTGTTATTTGTCATCAAAGTATTGGCTAATCATTTGCCACTGTTTATTGAAGTGTAAAAAGTTATTTTTTTGCAGTAACAACCCACATATCATCAATAAATTTGGGTTATTATAAACTGTAAATTGTTTAATTGATTACTGTTTTTGCTAATCCTTGTTTCTTTTTCCTTTTTTTTTTAAGATTTGGCAAAATGGAGCTAGAAATCCATCTATGCTATGCCCAAAAGATAAAAACGAAGAAGCAAATTTTGCTCAGGGCTTTGATTACTTGAATTTGGTTAGTGATTTTTGAGTCTATAATACACTTCAATTTTACTTTTAAACACTGTTTTTCTCGCTGACCCCAAATATTTGCTACTGTAATTACGTTTGCATAAAATTAAAAAACGAAGCAATAAGAGAAGAGGAACGTATAAATAAAAACGAGCTATTTTTTTAAAATTATATTGGTTATCATTTTATATTCTAATCTTCTTAAACCTTTATTCTTCATTATTGCTGCTATTTAGATCTAGTGTCTTTGTGCAAATTTTTTTATTTACAGGAAGGTATGACACAACATTTTCATCTTGGTCAAAGATTGTTCACAGAATATGCTGTAAAACAAAAATTTTTGACCAGCTATTATGATCCTCGTGAGGTATAGATAAAATTAGACCATAAATATTTATCAAAAATAATAGTATTTCTGAAATATTGCATTAATTGCTTAAATTGTTCAACTGGCTATAAAATGCATAAATTTGAACTGTGATAATCTAAGTTTTTAGATTTATGTACGATCGGCAGATACAAATCGAACAATGTTAAGCGCAAGCAGTAATATGGTCGGTATGTATCAAAATGGAACACAACAAGAGGATGTAGATTATCCTAAGATTGAAGGATGGCCTGAAAGATTTGTTCCCGTCTCAATACATTCTGACAAAAGTGAAATTGACTACGTTAGTTGCATTTGAAAAATTCTTTTCCTGTTCTTTTTTTATTTATTTATTTAACTATTATTTGTTTGTCTTCATCTTATTGATTTATTCACAGTTTTTAATATATAATCATCTGTAGGTGTTCTTCAACAACAACAACAACCTTTAGAAAATAATCTTAATTTAGGAGTCTGAAATGGCACCTTGCCCACGTAGGGATTATATTTGGTCTTTGGTGCAGAAAACTTTAGAATACAAAAATTTAGAAACTGAAAATAAAGTTTGTTTTCTGTTTTTTTTTTCTTATTCTCCCTTACTTCTGTTAAGCTTTTTTTCTTAAATGATTAAAAAATAGTGAAAAAAAAGGAGAAGTTTTTCTGTTTGTTTATTTCAGGGTTTTTTGGACAATATCTCTTCAAAATGTGGCCAAAAAATATCAATTTTTGATCTTGGCATTGTAACCAAATCATTCCTTGCTGAGGTTCAGTTTTTGTCTTCAATATTAATTTTTTATATTTTTTGTTAAATTTAATTTGGCTTCTGTAAGTAACTATTATTGCAGCTAGAATATATTAAGCTGAACAGAAAAAAAAGCTGCACTATTTTAATCAAAATTTACCGAATGTATTTGACAAAAATTAACAAAACAAACTGCCGTATAATAGCTAAATGAAATATAGCTGATATACTTGCAGAAATTTTTCAACTTGACAACAATTGTTAGTGACGAAGAATTCAAGAATCTTAGCCAGATAGAAACAGAAGTTGAAAGATTAAAACGTGGAGAAGGTCAGTTGGTTTTGATATGTTTACGGCGATCAATGAAGTATTTGGAAAAGCGAAACTGCAATAACTGGTTATATACAGTCTAAAAAAAATTTAATTTTTTCAGGTTTAAATAACACTCAGAACATTGAATTCAATGAAGAACTACTAAATTTAAGATTTGCAGCTTTGGCTCAACGAATTCTCTATCATTTTAATCTTAAGGTACAGTTGCTTAGAAGTAGTTGTTTTTTTTTAACAGAAATCAAACATCTATACATTTATCTGATTTTGGTTTAGGTACATTGTCAATCAGATAATGCTGCTAACCAACCTGAGTGTACATGGATGAAACGGTTTAAGTATTATGCATTTTCAGTGGTAAGAAAACTTTTTAAACATTCAGAAATTAGATGCATTTCAAACAAGAGATTTTTTTCTTCTTACAAACAAGTTTAAAAAAAAAAGTTTGTTTGAAAAAATCAGAAAAATTTAATTTTATTGTTTTTTTTTCTACACTACTTGTCGTCCTTCAAGTTTGCGTGTTTGGTCTGTATCTTTGGGTACTCGTTATACCGCTATGCTATAAACAAAAAGATTCTGTATTTTAAATATCTGAATTGCTTCTAATAAATTTTATCAGTTGTCTAGATTACATTGTTCAAACAAAAAATTGATAAGTATTTTAAACATGATGCGAAAATAGACTTTTAAGACAAAAAAAAGTTGAAGAACGCTTATTTTATTGTTTCTTCAGTTGAATGTTAATGCAAAAAAGGTATTGCTCAAAAAATGAAGCAACTTCAGTGAGAATTTTTCTGAGTTTTTTTAGCACGTATGATGCGTCGTATCATAATTGAAATATCCCGTTGTCTGCCTTATTCTGCCTCTAAAACAGTTAATGATTATCTGAAGTTCTTCCAAGATTTCTTGAGCCTTATGCTTAATTTAATGTTTTCTTTGTTAATTGTCATTTTTTGCGACAACCATAACTTTTGAACAACTTATCTACAATCTTTTTTTGATTACCATGTTGTATTTAAGCATGGAACAACCTTGGAAGGCTTAAAAGCGTATCTAGACATCAAACAGTTATCGCCAAATCAAACTAGTCGATCGATTAGTGCTTTGGCACTTGAGCTGTGGAAGTTAGACAATCAAACTTACTCTATCAAGGTTAAATTCTCATGTCTGTTGCTAATTTTACTAATAGCATTCGTTTGTTTTTTTTTTAGAAATAATCGAGAAGGAAATGTAACAGTTTCTAGAAAATACTTCAACAAGAAAAAAACAAGTTCATTTTTCTGAAGTCGCTTTACCTTAATGTAGTCAATTTTTCTAGGCAAAGCACTTTACTGACAATGCAGAACCGCAAGAAATAACTTCGTTGATGAATGGTAAATATAAAAATTTTAAAAACTACATTTTTAATGCTGTGTGAAAATTTAAAGTGTAAAAATGTATAAAACGTTGGTGCCAAATTTTTGGAGTATCTATCTCAAATAATCATTTAAAATTTATGAAAATTACAGTTTGCAACCAAAGCTGTGACTTTGAAATCTTCCAGAACAACTTACAGAAACGCTTACCTGTTAAATCTGTTAAGGAAGTAAAGCTTTTTAAACTTTTATTACATCTAATTCTTCTTTTCTCTATGTTTACTGTTGTATACACTCATACTTGTTGTATTCAAACTATAACTCAGCAAAGAAATTAATAGATGTGTGATGATTTACCTGCAAATGCTGCCCCGTTAGAGAAGAATGATTACCACGTTTCGCCTCAAAGGCTTACAAAAAGGGACATTCCGGAAGGGCCCGAAGATGAGCTAATTTTTGTACAGTCGGTGAGTTGACGCTACACATTCAGACGTCTGGCGCGCAAGTAGCATTGATATAAAAAATTTGAGAAATTTTTTAAGTTGTGGCGCCACGGTGATCGATCACCGCTGAGTGGATGTGAGAACGATAAAAATGGTGAAGATGTCTGGCATCTAGGCAGTGGGCAGCTTTCACCGGTAAGTACAGCATTCTAAGTTTCTTATTTAGCTTATCAGTTTTGATGAACCGTTTTTTGCAGAAGAAAATTTTGTTTCGCTTTTTCTGCCTTGTACGATACGAAGACGATCAGTTTTCGGTTTTTACCACAAAATATGTTACCACAAAACAAACACTTTTACAGCTTCTTATCGTTGCTTAACTTTTCTCTGCATTTTTTTGGATAAAAAAGACAAAATATGTTTTTATTCATGACAAAAAGTGGAGGCAAACAGAATACTTATGGTTAGAAAAAATTGATTATTGATAAATTTACAGAGTGAATTATAAACGTTCCACTGAAAAGATTCTAAATTTTTAAACATGATTTTTCTTGTTACTGCTGCATTAAGTTTACTCGTTGGCTTTTTAAATTAATCACATTATTACCTCTTCTTTACTTCTTTATAGCAGACATTTCTAAAACTATTGAGCTTTTTTATGAAGTTAAACTATCACCGGCTTTTAGCTGTGGAAAAAATTACTGTAAGTGGGCGATTCCTCATTATTAGAAACGCACTCGTACTATAATTTTTAAATTGTATTTTGATAAAATTTTCAGAATGGAATGAAGCAACATTTCAAAACTGGCAAAATGATTTACAATCGATATGTCACAGAAAAGAAATTTCTGAGTCCTAAATTTAACTCAAAAGAGGTAGAATTTTTTGCCATCTGCATACTCAGTTGTGTTTCAATAACAAAGCTTAGAGTTTTAAAACATGGTTTGTTTAAGACTAATTCATGAGGACCACTGGATTTGAAAATTTTTAGATTTACGTTCATTCGACAGGATTTAACAGAACAATTATAAGCGCAATGTCAAATTTAATTGGTATGTACTCCAACAAATCGCAAGTAACAGCTGGAAAAGACTTTCCAGATATTAAGGGGTGGCCTTCAGGATATGTTCCGATACCTGTACATAATTACGACAATATTCATGACCATGTAATGATTGATTTGTTACTGCCTACAGAAGTTACTACGCTTGAAACAGTAAAATCAAGTTGCTGAAAAGTTTATTTTTCATGTTTTATTAAGTGGCTGAAATCCTAATCTGTGACTTTGAAACTTGCAGAATGTACTAGTGAATTTATGAAGTGCTAGAAACTATAGAAATCTAAATTGCAGATGGGTGATCCAAACACAGCATGTCCAAGACAAACTTTCTTCGTTAGAATGTCAGAAGAAGCTCCGGAAGTGGCCAATTACGCTGCAGAAATGGCCGTAAAGCTTCTTTTTGTATGACCAATAAAATACGACACTGGAGGCCTTTCTCTTCTCTAATTTTAGGATCTACTGGCACGCGCTTCTAAGCGTTGCGGGCACAACCTAACTCTGTTTACCATAACGCGGCCGCTTGATGCCGACTTGATTGAGGTAACATGCAGCTTATTAAGAAAACAGCTTCTTGACGTTTTTCAAGCGGTCATAAAACTGAAACGTTTTTTTCCTTGAATAACAACTTTATGTCAGAACAAGCGACACTTTGTATCGCTATCCCACAGAGATAACTGAAAGGTCTTTAGGGATTTTATAATCTCTCTAGAGTATTCGACGACGAAATGCACAAGCAATTACAGGAACTGGAGAATGTTGCTGAAAATGTGAAACTTGGTTTATTAGGTAAATTTTTTTCCAGAATTGAAATTATAGATTTACTGGACAAGCTGCCACAACTGAAATATCAAAAGAGCCTGTAAAATTGATTATTATTTTTCTTTTTTTAGCATATAACTTTCGTCAAAACGGATACGATCTCAAAGTAGAAGTTCCAAAGACAAGAGGCGGAAGTGTTTTGTGGAACGTTATCAACCACATGCAAATGAAAGTTTGTTTCTATAACAATGTCCACATATATCAATAAATTTTAATTAATCTAGTCATTCTGCTTATTCAAATTTATTTGATTCACATGTATACTTTAGATAAACTGTTCAGAGTCGAAAAATCCTGAGTCACCAAGTTGCATTTGGATGAACCACCTTAAGTACTTCATTTTCTCTGCAGTTAGTGATTTTGTTGGTCTTGTGCTAAACTGAAAGCTAGTCATAAGAAAAGTTAACTTTTGACTCCAGAAGAACAACCTTACCATCGGTTTATTTCTATAGCACGATTCAACAGTGAATGCGATGCTGACAACATTGGGAATGAAGGAGCGTGTGATACCAAATGGAATTCCAGAATACACTGCTGCCATATTTTTTGAGTTATACAAAACGTCAGACAGCAAATACAAAGTTAAAGTGAGGTTCCGTAAAAATCAGATGCACAAAAGTTGTACTAGAAAGTCATCACTATGATTTGAAAATTCTGAAAAGAAAGTTTTTTTCCAGATAATATTCCACAGAAATCCCGATTCGACCAGTTGGGAAGATATTACCGGATATGTCACAGGTAATTTCTTTGTTTTTTTTTTGCAGCAAGGTTAAGTTTAGTCACCTTTAATTTTTATATATATGACGGCAGTTTATTGCCAGTTATCCTCAGGATTTATATTTTTTACATAAATTCTTGGATACTGAGTTTTTAGGATGCCCTACCTATGAGCTCTGCCCTTTTGATACATTTGTAACTCGATCTGAACCATTTTATCCTGGAGTTATTGAAGACGTATGTATTTATTCAGAATAAAAAAAAAACAATTATTTAGGCTTAGCAGTGCCACATATGCGTCATTCTAAATTTTAAATACTTTTTGAAAAAAACGTTTTTTTAGCGTGACAAAGCAGGTTTTCTTTTAATTCAAATTACTTTTAACAGCTAATGCATTCTTTGGCAAAAGAACTGCTTATTCATAATGATTCACTCATGCTTATTTAGTTGTGCGCAGATGTACCCACGACTACAGTGGCTCCTAAAACACAGAGTTCGCAACAAACGACAGCCACAACGCAAACGACAGCAACAACGCAAACGACAGCAACAACGCAAACGACAGTAACAACAACAGCGACCACATCATCGGAAGCATCATACATCCATTTAGGTCAGGATCTTTTTTCACTTTTTTTTTGAGAGAAAAATTTAGTGACCAGGATGATAGCTTCGATCAAAAAAAAGTATTTTTAGGACTTTCGGTCGCCTTCTTACTCGTGTTGAAATGGAGTGTTGTAATGTAAAATGAAAGAAGTCTGTGCCTTACGATCGAGGACTTAAATACACAATGAATGGTGGATAAACTTAAAAGTTGTTGATTTACATAATTCATTGTTTACAGAAAGGCTGCCATAACTGAGTTTTAAAACTTTTTTTCATGCAAGTCAGCTGCATAAATCGACCACCACATAAATATGCATGTTCATTTATTTAACTGTAAAAAATCTGCCAGCGAAATGGTGTTGATGTTAAGCTGCATTTTGAAGAAACTCTGTAATATTTTTTATTTCTAAAGGCTTTGTCCATCAGTGCTCAAAATTCAGTAAACTATTTTCAGTTTAAACTGCTTCTTAATTTTAGCAGTACTCTATTGTTTATTAATGAGCTGTACCTGTACGCGTTCAAAGGATTTTAAGGAGATTAATCAGCTCTAAAGAACACTAGTCATCAATTTTCAGTGATGTATAACGATCTAGTCACAATTTCTTTGTCTCCTCTTGTTTGTAAAACATTTATCTTCCCAGTCAATTTTATTGTTTTCTGTTTTTGAAGTTAGCAGTAGGCATATTTTGCAAATTTGCTAAAAATAAATAATTGGTAATTTATAAGATGAATAAAAAGGCTTTTCAAGTACCAAAATAAGCATGTTCAGTTTTTAGAAGTGATATTTGCGCCAGCGCCCAGATTATTTAGAAGATAAAGGAGGGCAATTTGCATCAAAAACTTCAGATGACGCAGCCTATAATAATCAACCAGTAAATAGAATAACGTTTTCAGCAGTGTTTAAAGAAAATGAAGTTTTTGAACCAGAAGAGCATTTTTACAGAGCAGAATTTTTAATCAAGCCAAAAATAAAGTCGACATTACGAAAGATGCAAAAATTCAGCGTGATTTCTGATATGAAGCAATAAAGTGTTTTGCGAGAACAGTTCTGGTCCGGCTACAGTGTTTTAACAAACGCTTTTTCTGGGTTTGACTTTACGCAGAAATTCAAGCATTACTAAGCAGCATCACGAAAAAAAGAAAGGAGGAAATGAAATTTATGGACACTTTCAATATAGCGGAAGTAAAAAACAAGTATAAAGCAGGAAACACATATTCAACATTCAAGGAAGCACAGGGGAAAAAGGGTAACGTATAACATTCTAATTAATATACTATTGGATAGTTTATCTTCTCGTACAGTTCCCCCAATAATGAGGCAGTGAGCACAACGAATAAAAACTCAATATGGAATATAGCTGATGTTGAAGAAACGATCTTAATCTAAAAAAATTGAAAATTTTTTGTTGTTTTCTAATACTCAAAATTTTTAAAAATGTTTTTGTGTGCCATCTATGATTTTACAGCGTATCAGATTCTTCATATGATTCTCTAGAAGCTAATCAAGCTCAAAGAAAACTTTGACAGGAAACTGCAGTGATATAATATCTAGAACGTTCTTTCAAAAAGCTTACGTTGCTTCTGTTTCGAATATTTACACCGACTCATACTACATCTGTAGTATCACCGGCAATGCAGATGTGTCTTTTAAAAAGAGAAAATTTGACCTACGCTTTACTGCCGATTACTTTTTTTTTAATTTATTTTTCAAACCAATACATTTGAATAATAGCTGAAGCAGTTATAAGTCGAATATTTTACTGTTGTGATAAAGTAACCATTAAATCTGATATTTAGGAGAATAGAGTACAACATTCTATTATGCTTCTTTCTGTTCTGAATGGCGAATTTTAGAGTTACTCAAGTTTATTTCGCTCCCGGTTTCATCACTACTTACGCTAACCGTGCACTGTTTTTGTTAACAAGATGAAAAATTACTGATATTAATTACAATTAATGCTGAATGGTTCTAGAGGTAGTAATGTTGAAGCAGATAATACAGTTTTAAGCCAAAAGATGATGTGGTAGTAAAGCCATTACTGAGACATCTCAAACCACTAGATTACAGAGCATCAAAGAGTTTGCGAATTGTGCGCAGTCATAAAGGCTGTTTTGTCAGTCTTTATAAATAACATGTTTCTGCGTATAGAAAGTTCGAGAATTACCTTAACTTCGACAGCTTGTAAGCTGTATAAACTGTCGAGCTCTACAAGAGAGAATAACTTTCAAAGGCGAGGGCCTCAAAACTAGCATATGTTGTTGTAGTTTTTGGGTCTTTTTCAGTATAAAATAATTTTTAAACCTGACATTCTTTTAACAAAATCTAAACTACGGCACTAAAAATTCACAAATTTCATGCACAACTATTGCATTTTGCATAGCAGAGAGAAATGCTGAAAAAAACCTGTAAGTTGGTGTTTGTTTTTAAATGACCAGATTTTAATCGAAACAAAAAAAAAATTAATTTTGCAAGTTAGTGTAATTAAGTTATTTAAATTCTGAGAAAAAAAATATTATTTTTGTTATTGTATACTTATGTTTTAAGTTAAAGTGTTCCTTCATAATATTGAGAAACAGCTAATGTAGCTCGGGAAACCCCACATCATAAAAATGCCTAGAATACACTAAAAAGACAAAAAATTCTGCTTCACGATTAACAAGGTACAGCCCAGCTAAAAGCCTATTTTTAATTCTGCTTTATAATTTTCAATTCAAAGCCTAGCATTTGAACACTACTACTAGAAAAAATCTGATAAACAATCCATACAGTTTGACGTTGAAATGAGGAGTTTGGCTTGACAGAAAATGATTTTATTTGTCGAAACACAGGTGATAATTTTGTGGCTCCAAAATTATTGGTTTTGACCCAAATTATTTATTTTAAACTTTTAAATTAACAATTTTACCAGTTCAGAAAAATGTGCAAAATGTGCTTTCCCGTATTCATCGCTATTAATTTGCCGCATTTAGCGACATCATATGCGGTTGCTAGTCGTCTTTTACAAACATATGATCGTACACTCGGTAAACTTCCATTCGTCAGTAGGTCTGATCTTTTTTTTTTTTTTTTTTTTTTTTTTTTTTTTTTT